TTTTTTGAAAGAATCACATTTTATTTGCTCGCCAAGAATGTCCAAATCCTATCAAGAAAAAATACATTAATGTATATATTTATTTATATAACCCGTCGAGAATACATCCCTAGTTGAAAAAGTTTTTTACTGAGAATGAATTTATTTATATCACTATAATTCATATTTATATCACTATAATCACTATAAGATATTCTCCGATATTTCGTAATAAAAAAATATAAATATCAAATGGAAATTAAATCCTCTAGTTCGCGAAAGAGAAATTATTCTAACTCGAAAAAGTGGTGCGCGATATTTAATTACTCACTAAAGATTTCCGAATTGGAGTTTTTTTTTAAATTCTCAGTCTTATATGTATTTATATAATTCTAAAAAGCTGATTGTTTCAGCATGTTTGAAATCTGAAGTTGCTGCGCGCTGGCGCCATTTTTGTCACGGTGTCGACGGTGCACATTTGAAATTCCAAGATGGCGTTAGTCACGTTATTCAATGTGCAGTAAACCGTGGTTTAAGGCCGTGTTTCGCCTGTTTCTACCAATATGGATTCCAGTGGATTCCACCGTCTGCGTATAGCAGATTCAACTGTTGAGTGAGCGCTCGCTGCTATTGGATGATCCAGAAGAATACACCAAATTGAGTTTGCTGAACGCGATCAATTTGATTCAACACAAAACTTGCTGATTGGTTGGGTTAAGTGGAAAAATTCCAATCACAACGGTCGCTGTGAGTGGCTACGCTGCGACCAATAACCACATCAAACCGAATCATGAAACATTTCCTGGTGGTATAAAATGTGTATTATTTTTCCGCAGCACAAGGTATGTATGAGCTACGATTGAGACTTTATGATAAAGCTGCTTTTTCATGCAGACGCTCAACGCTCATTTTCAGCATCAAAACAGGTCATGTGATCAAAATTGATGCTATTCGTCAATTTTGATCACGTGACCTGTTGTGCCATTGAAAATGAGCGTCGAGCTTCTGCATGAAAATACAGCCTAAAACTGTTTGATATCATCCTTCTCATCCCTCTCCCCGACCCATCATATTTAACGCGTACTTGTTTGTACTTGTATCTACTTGTGTAGTATACCAGCCATACCAGCACTTCCCTCTCGATTGATGTTTCACTTGATAAGGGATTTTGATATACAGGTTATGTACGACAGTTGTCAAAGGCAATGTTTTGAGACGTCTCGTCGTGACAATTCGCTGACCCGTCTCACCTGTCCCGTTTGTGAATCTCTGCTCCACTTCTCACCTGGATCAAGGTTTACCAGAGTCCGGAGTTATTGTCTTCACGCGCGGCCTTTTTGAGTTCGCAGCTCCGTGCTCGCCTTTCAGGCAATGTCAGGAAGTGCACTCTCGGCCGAGCGTTAAATCGTGATTTGTCGCAATCGAGATCCTTTGAGAATGGCTGATGAGTTGGTGGAAACACCACGGGGCCTCAATAATGAGGACACCGAGTGCATCGTTGATGCCGAGATCGACGGTGATGATGATGACTCTGATGGAGTCATAGTTCCAGAACTTCAGGGTACACTATCCAAATGGACAAATTACATACATGGCTGGCAAACTAGATTTATTGTACTCAAAGATGGTACTTTGTCTTATTACAAATCTGAGCAGGACAGCGGATATGGATGTCGCGGTTCAATTAGTTTGTATAAAGCTAATATCAAGGTAAGAGGTCATGCAAGATGAGCTATGTCTTAGCAAATATGTATGTTTAACATTGTAAACACAATGACGCAAAAAGTCATGATAATAAATCATTACATTAAGTTAATTATCTGTTTAACAGGCACATCAGTTTGATGAATGTAGATTCGATGTGTCCGTAAACGATTGTTTGGTTTGGTATTTAAGGGCAAATAATCCAGAAGAGAAACAGCGATGGGTAGATGTCTTAAAATCTTACAAGGTAATGATATAGCGCCGAAACAGTATCTTGTCTCCAGATAATAGTTTATTTTTGTTACATTATATTAATAGAAATTATACAATTATTTTAATATTATGTGCTAAAGTCTCTTGTCTTAAATATTGCAATCTTTTTTTATTATAGACTTCATGTATTTTATTAAATTTGATTAATATTTTGTAAATAAAAATTCCACCAAAAAAATTTATGCTCGATGATTAGCAATTTTTATTTGTCGCAAATAGTCAGAATCCGGCTATGGAAGCGAGAATAGTCTCAAACGACACGGTAGTGCTATTTCGCTCGCATCAAATACACAATCGACAACGAGCGCCGGTAGCCTTACTAAACGTGGCATTAGAGGATTAAAGGAAAAGTTGGCCGAAATTGAAACGTTTAGAGATATTCTAATCAAGCAGATCGATACTCTGCAGAAGTATTTCGACAATTGTGCAGAAAATGCCAAGAATATTTCTAAGGAAGGTAATATCTTTTAACTTGTAAATTTTTTATATGTTTCTGTCTCTTGTTCCAAATATTTAGAATAAATTTATAATATAAATTTATGATGTAAATATATAATGCACAAGTTTAAATATATAATTATAATTATTATGTGAAATAGATAGGAAAAGAGCTTTAACATATTTCATTAATTTTGTTGCGATAATTTCAGAAAAGGTAATCGAGATGTTTAATCCAGCTGAACAATCAGTGGATTTCAAAGGGGAAGCGATAACATTTAAAGCGACTAGTGAAGGGGTGTTGGCGACCTTACAACATTGCGTCGAATTAATGGTACAGCGAGAGGATGCATGGCGCCGTAGATGGGAGAAGGAAGTTGAAAAGAAACGAAAATTGCAAGAACTTTATAAAGCTCTGAAAGATCAAATTGCCATGCATCATAACGGCTCTCCGAGACCTAGGGTTGTTATACATGGAGGTCCTGATTACGAGGTGAGTTCTTTTTTTTTTCACAATCTCATCGCTGTGTACCATTTCAATTTGTATAAATTTATGTATGTGAACTAATTTATTGTTCTCGAAATTACAATTTCATACTACACAATCTTATTTTAAATAAAGTATTCGTTTTTAAAATCGAAAAGCACGATGTAAATAAATCGTAGCATATGGAATGAAAGGGATTGGATCCGAGTTTTGTCGAATCCACAGCTTTTTTCCGCACAAAGTCATCCTGAATTTCTATTTAGTGAAATTCTTATTTAAAAATTTTTAAGTTACACAAATATATATATATATATATATATATACAAAATATTCATAATTGTACATTGCATATACACTTTCATAATATAATATAGCATAATAATAAAATAGAAAACAAGTAAAAAATTTAAGAATTAAAAATATTTTTT